CAGAGTTTCTCTAGACTACAGGAAATTTCGTTCAGGTAAGTGACTGGATTTATGATAATAAATGTTTAGGTATTGTATTTCTTTTAGTCATGTACGTTAAGTATAACTTTAGCAATCTGCGCCATATGAATTTATACTGTTGCTTATGACTGTTAATTTTATATATTTTTTTTAATCAATGAGAGTAATAAAATGTGACTTCCATTTGGTGACCATATCTCTGGTCACGTATAAAGTGGAATGGAAAGTCACTACTGGCGGAAAGCATAAAGCACAGTTCACAGAAAATCACTATCACCTCTTGAAAGTTAAGATTGAGGCTCTATTCACTATCTTATATTTTGTATTATTGCTTGATATATATGATTATCTTATTAATTCTAATTTATTCTAATGTAAAATTTTATGCAAAATGAAATTATTTTTCGAAAAACCTAATCAACACATTAAAATGTAATTAATATTCCTAGTTACATTAAAATCCATCAAAGTTAACTTTGTTAACACAAATTATTATTATTTTCATAGACATAATGCCTCTCAGTGGGGCCGAAAAAACTAGAAGATATAGAGAAAAGCTTAAAAGGGACCGCCCTGAAGAATATGCTGCTCAATGTCAGAGAAATTTACAAAAAATAAAATCAAAGAAAAAAAAGATTTCAGATATGTCTTTAGAAGAAGCAAAAGCACAAAGACAGACATGGCGAGAACAAAAAAGAAAGAGTAAAGCTCGAAACAAAAAATGTAAAAATAGCTTACCAAATGAGACATCGAATCCTGAAATAGAGACAGACGCAGCGATGAAAGAAAAAAATATTAAAAGATACCACAATAAATGTAGAGTACTAGTCACAAAATGCCGCAGATACCAAAATTTGATCAAAGAATTAAAGACTCGAAATGAAACCTATAAAAAACGAAATCAGCGCATTACAAAAAGATATATAGAAAAGATTGCAGAGTTAGAGAATATTAATAAAAAAATGAAGGCGAGAGAGGAGATTCTTGAAAGTACATTAAAACGAACTTATAAAAATAGCAGAACTCACAAGGAAAAGAAAATATTGCGTCAACTGGTGCATAATGCCGAAAATAAAACCTATGTTTCAAATAAGCTGGGCTTAATTTGTAAACCTAAGGAAAAGAAAAAAATATTTAAGCGTCCAAATATACCGGAAATTACAAATTTTTATTTAAGAGATGACGTAAGTCGCAGTACAGCTGGACGAAAGGAAACTAGGACAAGAAAAAAAATAAAAAAACAAATAAGATACCTATCTGACAACTTAGTGAACCTATTTAACAAGTACAGAAAGGAAGGTGGACGATATGGACTATCTACTTTCATTAAGTACAAACCATTCTTCGTCATTGCTCCGCGTCTAAATTCCAGGGACACTTGCTTATGTATTAAACATAGCAATATAGAATTTCAGCACGATGCTTTAAAGAAGGCTGGAGCATTGAAAACTCGGACAATAAGAAATGTGTTGGATAGCATATCCTGCGATATAAAAAACTACTATTGCATGTACGATAAATGCACGATTTGCAGTGATCTGAAACCATTTTATGAACAATGTCCAGATAAAAATGTGTCTTGGTTCCAATGGAAACGTGAAGACCATGTTTACACAAAAATGGAAGAACATAAAAAAAAAGAAATCACAACTAAAAAAACAGCAAAGGTAATAATAACAGGAAATTTACAGGAACTGAAAAATAATTTCGAAAAAGACTTACATAAATTTAAAAAGCACTACTTTAACATGCTACACCAACAAAACCAGTACCAGATTGCTATATCGAATCAAAAAGATAATGAAGTTGTCATAGTTTGTGATTTTTCTGAGAACTATGAGGCAAAATTAGCAAATGAGGTCCAATCCTTGCATTTTGGCGCTTCAAAAAACCAAATAACATTACATACTGGCATGGTTTTTTGGAGAGATGAATCTCAATCATTTTGTACTATATCGGAATCAAATAATCATCGCCCAGCCGCTATCTGGGCACATTTAACTCCAATAATAAATATCATTAAAAATAAAACACCAAATGTAACGATTCTCCATTTTTACACAGATGGACCATCTTCCCAGTACCGACAGAAAAATAATTTTTATTTGCTAACTGAATTTACAAAAAAACTTGGATTTGATTATGCAACCTGGTCTTATTTCGAATCTGGCCATGGAAAGAGCGTTGCCGATGGTATAGGAGGTTGTGTAAAAAGAACTTTAGACAGAAAAGTCAGCCAAGGAGTTGACGTAGCAGATGCCGAAGATGCACACAAAATTTTGAATGAGTGCCTAAAAGTAACAAAAGTTTTCCTTATTAAAGAAAGTGATATAGATGAAATAACGGAAATTTTTCCTAATACCGTTCCGCCGCTGAAAGGAACTCTTCAAATCCATCAAGTTGTCACGCAAAAAGACCAGACAACAATAAAGTTCCGTAATATTAGTTGTTTCTGTGGACCTGTTCGTGGCCAATGTGATTGCTATTCACCTCAGTTACATAATACTATAACTACTAGAAAATGCCTCTCTTTCAACAAAAGAACCAATCTTTCACAAAATTTCGATCCTCAACCCTCTACATCTACTTCAATTGCTAAAAAACGCCAATCTTCCAATAAAATAATCTATCTTAAAGAAATTGTTGAAGCTCAGATTTCTACCACTACACAAATTTCTAACCAACAACAAGATTACAACAAAAGAGCCCATCTTCCAGAAAAAGTTGAAACTCAGCATACATCTATTCCAATTTCTAAAATACGCAAATCTTCCAACAAAAGAGTCAATTTTACAGGAAATGTTAAACCTCAGCAATTTACATCTACTCCGATTTCAAAGAACCGCCAATCTTCCAATAACTTTTCCAAAATCTTCGAACCGCAAAAAACTCTTCATTTGCTGCCTTCTGAACATAAACCTTCTATCATCTCCCCTGAAGAACAAACATCTCCTGAACAAAGTAGGCTATCAATGGTTTTCAAGAACAATCAATCTTATTCTAATGATAATAGTGGGAAGGAACTTTTACTTGAGATAGGTTCATTAATACCCTCTGATTTAGATTCTTTCAATAATATTAATATTGCTGACTCCGAAGACTTTGAGAAACTTGTCGATCTGAATGATATAGAAATATTACCAATGATTATATTACCAGACAAAAAAGACAAGACTAAGCCTGAAGTAACCGATAATACGATAAATGATAGTAATTTGATCAAAAATTATAGTACAAGTAAAAAAAAGGGTTTCATTGAATGCCAGAAGTGTACATGTACAATATTAGATAGAAAAGCCAAATGTATGGCTTGCCAAAAATGGTTTTGTGAGGAATGTGTCGACGGTCCTATAGAATTTGATTATATATGTGAAAAGTGCTTCGAAGGTAGATATTATTAAAACTAGCATAAAACGTTATTTGAATAAAATATAAATGGTAGGTATAGTTACTTAGACATAAATTATTAATAATTTAATTAATGTTTTTGTTACAGATTAAACTTTGTGGTGAAAAATGATGATCATTTACGCTGAGATCGATAATGCGTTGCATTTTGATGATTACAAGAGAATTATCGACTTAGCTTTAAAATGGCCCTGGAAGGAAACGCACTTTGTCATTGCCGAAAATTGTTTTGGTTGCGGCATAAATACAAGATACATTTCTCCTCCACATTTTTCAATGAATATGAATCTTGAAGATATTTTATATTTACTGCAAAATCCACAATTCTGGTGTTACAATTGCAAATATTGTGTTTATGATCATTTCCCTAGAGATGAGTGTATTTTTTGTGCTATTTAGTTTAACTTTATGACGTATGGATCTCTTTTTTTATCTAATTGATATTTAGTGATTAGTTTAGTCCTATTCATGGATCTCATATTTTTCTGATCGTATATTTAGTACCTAAGTATAATAATTTAAACTGCCTAAATAAGGCATTTCTCGTATGTGTTCAATTTGATACCTACTTGTATCTGTGACTAATAATAATAAAAAAGACTGATTGTCAATTATGTTCTCAATATGTTAATTAAAGTTACCTATTGTTGTTAATAATTATTGAATAGTTTTTGGACATTGTTTACTGGATTGTTACTTAATTAAGATTAACATTATCCTTGTTACTAAACTTTTAGAAAGCCCGAAGTTTTTTTCCAATGAATATTGTATTTTTGTTTAATTTTCATAAAAAAATATATTTCTAGGAACAACTCAATTTCTAAGTTTGGATAAACTGTACTGTTTGGGCTTCTTAATAAAAATAATAAACAGCTAAATAATCGTTTTTTTTTTTTCAATAATTCGTACCCACAAGTAATTGTTGTAAACGCACCCTACTGATTTTCAGGCGGTCAGTTTGGTCACTGTCCCTTCAAATTTGCGAGTTAATTCTTCCCTTTTAAACATTTTGCAGCGATAGAAATTATACAAAAACTACAAATTATTGTCAGAAATGATAGTTTTATTTCTTAAATAACATAATTTATGATTATAACAGTCAAAATCATGAATAAACTGAAAAATCATTAGTATGAAAGAACCCATGGTAAACAAACTGAACTATAATTATTTTTGTTTCTTACAATTCTTCAAAGTTGCTCATAAAACCCTCAAATTATGATAAACGACTAGCACATTATTATATAAAATTAATATCATTATTATTACTCAACAATTCTAAGAGATATTCCTATTTTAAATAAGTCACATAATGGAAATATTTTCTTGCCCTAATCAGCTTTGTGTCGATTTTGGTATCTATTTAAACGTACTTTCGATAAATGAAGCAAATTTTCATAAAATATAGAATATTTGCTTTAGTATTCCATAAAAAAATTTTAGAAAGAATGAAGTTTAAAATAAAGTTCAACTTTTCGCTATGGGGTGCAAAAAAAAAAGATGCCCAGGTACGCTTTTTTCGTAGATATGGCCGGTCCTCTTCTTTTATGTCTATGGAGAATACGCACTGCAACTTTGCAAATGGCGGACAGGTGGTACGATAGCTATATGTCATGACGTTACGTAAAAAATTTTGAACTGTCACACTAAAATAGTGTTATTAGTTAAAAAAAGACAACATGATGTTTTCGATGTCAACTTCAGATTGCATGATATTTATATAACCATAGAAAATATTTTCACTCTACCTTATCTCTATGTTTTTAAACCTTCGCGAGATATTATCTACCTAAGTAGGTACTTTATAGCATTTATAGTTTATGTCAAGCCATGAGTAAACGCTCAGAAAAAGCATTAGATTCATATACTCCAACGAAAAAACCTAAGCATTGGTCATTGGGTCTTCTTGAATCTATGAAAGACCCGCACTGTATAATAAAAGAAAACATAAACATTGTGGTTATCCAAGATAAGTATCCAAAAGCAAAAATTCACTATTTATTTATACCACACGAAAATATAGGTAGTATTCATAACTTAAACAGTGCTCACATTAGTCTTTTAGAGGAATTCAATAAGCTATTTGCAGAAGTCAAAACAGAACATCAGAATTATACTCTGAGAGCTGGATTTCATGCTGTACCAAGTATGCAAAGGATGCACATGCATGTAATAAGCAATGATATGCTCTCACCATGTTTAAAAACTAAAATTCATTGGAACAGTTTCACAACAGATTTTTTCATACCTCTCCAGGGTATGTAAAATTATCTCTGCCTTTCTTTTGTTCCAATCTTAATGTCGTAAAATAGTGTCCTTAACTGATTATTATTTTGAATTAAACATATGTTTCAGATATTATAAAGGAGTTGAAAGAGAAAGGATCAATTAAGAAAATATCGCCCGATCTACACAAGAAACTTTTAGCTACACCTTTACAATGTAATCAGTGTAGCATAAAACCTAAGAACATGCCAGAATTAAAAGACCATTTAAAATCTCACTACTGTAACTAGCACTTCTGTAAAAGTATTTTACGTTGTGCATAGTGTACCCTGATGTGCATAGGCAAAAACTAATAAGAACTTAGAAATCCATCATCTTGTTAAAATTAGAATTAAATATCAGTTGCACACTTGATACTATTAAGGGATAAATTTTGATTAATAAAACACTTTTTAATTTGTAAATTGCACTTTATTTGATAAACATTATCAAAATTGAAGAAAAAAAAAATAAGCATTTATGCTATTTCACTATGTGAATGTAACTCATTCATATTCCATATTCTTATAATACAACAAATTATCTATCGAGTTCAATAATACACAAATTATAAACTTACACATATTTATAATAGCTAAAAAGTTTGTTGAACATTGTAAGCCACTAGGTTTGGTATTCTGTAAAAATACAGCATGGAACACAGCACTGTCAAAGCATCAGAGGTTCTATCAAATAAAACCTACACTTTTATAGTCGAGTATTATTTGATTGAACCTCTAATGCTGTAATAGTGCTGTTCAACACTATATTCTTATAGATTAGCACTGTAGTACAGAATGCTTTATCCAAAAACATATTATAAACAAACATAAAATGTGGTTCCTTTCAAATATGAACACAAACCTGGCCTTACTAAACTAAACCAAATAGGAGATGGGATATTTTTGCTCATTTTTATTTATACTTGAGTATTTTACAATTTTCTACTTAATTAACTATCTACTTAACTACCTGTATATTTATAAAAACAAATTGAATTTGTTACATTTTTCCATTTTCAATTTCTAAATTTCCATCTTTAATTCTGATAAGTTTGAGAAAGATCATGCTGCTTTAGTTAAACACTACCCCTACAAGGTAGTTTACATGATCTAGGACTGTCCATGTCAGTCAAAGAACTGGATGTTGTACTGACACTATCATCTTCTTCTGGACTGTTGTATATTGACATGTTACGTCTCTTAAATGATTTTTTACTTCTGTCTGATACAGGTGTATCACATCCTGTTGTATCATTTGTACTGTCTGATAACAAAGGTGTTGTGGGTGATATTGTTGTATTTTCAATTGTCTCTTCACTCTCATTCTTCCTTGGTGTGATTGGTGCTGGCAAAGATAATTTTGAGCATTTCATAGGTGTTTTGTATGCTGAACCTAATTCAGTCTTTTCATTAGCATCATTTAATAGTATTTCGGTATCACCGCATGGTTGTGTCATAGCTCTACCAGATCTAGCCATAATCACTTGCACGGGGTCATCAATACCAAGTTTTTCACACAGTGTACTAGTTTGAGGATTTAAAACAGGATTTGATGGAGCAGTTTTAGGTGCTTTTGGATTATAGATAGGGGCAGTTCTGATAAACATTTCCTCTGTGATTATCATAGATGGTAACAACTTCACCAGGGATTCTTTTTCTGCTACAGTTGGAGTAAATATATATCTAAAAAGTAAATGTATTAAAAGTTTAGTAAAATCGTCAGAATTTAATTAAAATTGAGTCATACATTTTGTGTACATTTTCATAATACAACCCACCTCTCATTGCCACCAGGGCCTGGCATGTGGCATTCAATATTTTTTACACTCAATAGATGATTGGTATTTTTCAATACTGCAAGCCATTCCTCATCATATTTCAACAGTTTATCACCATCATATTCATGTGGTAAATCTAAAATCTGTAGATGCCTGCGTTTGGGTAAACATTTATCTAATGCCAAAAATTTAGTCTCTGTGTTATCTTCGTGTTTAACTAATGCAGCATATTGACAATGCAAATGTGCTGCAAACCAGTAATCTGGCTTTAAGCAATGCAGTAGCCTTTCAGCTGGAACACTTCCCAGCTGATTAGCTTCAACTTGCTCCCTGAAACAAACAAACATGATGTTAATCTGTTTTTTAAAAATAAATGTATCAACTGAATTTAATGGTTAACAGCATATTTACCTAAAAAATGGTTTTCGCCTTAAAAGCTGCTCTGTATCTCCATAGGCTGTAATACCACGAGGCCAGTCATGCGACAGCATCATATGAACTTTATCATTCAATTGACTGAGTCGAAAGACATCTAAAGATCTTACATGGTAGACAGACCTCAGAGAACTTTGGTTGTATGGAAGACATTCCCACAGTCCTTGTAAATAATCATGTCCTTTATAAATGCCTGAAATACCTGTAAGAAATTAAGTATTATGATAGACCACAAAATAAATAATACAGTGAAATTTAGTCCTACTTTAACAGTCCAAAAATTTTTTAAAAATTCTATTATGGAAACTGGCACAACACAGAGTCTGTCAATTAGTACAAATTTCCATAAACTTTTCAATACACTGGTAAACACATTCCAGCATGCTTAGCGTAATTTAAACTTATGTGATCTCGCTCTCAACTCAAATGCAAAGAATGCTAGTAATAGTGTCTGTATTATGTTTATTCTGAGTGGATGAACAAATAATTGAATCAATAACTTATACTCAACCATTTGATATTAATGATTTGATGCACTATATAGTTTTAATTAAAGTAAAAAAGACTGCATACATTAATTGGTGTAATGGCTACTCACCTCCTATCCTAAGGTTTCCAAATTTAACAACACCAGCCCGGCCCATATAGTAGATATTAGGTGCCACCCAGCCACCATAAGGGAGTTCTTGCAAATAATTTGATGCTTCATGGTTTCCACCAATAAAAATAGTCAGAACAGGTGCTCTCCTTTCACCACTGTAATACCTAAACAAAAATATAAACCTTTGAGTCTTTCAATTATTCATTTTGTTTTAAGTAAAACAACTGAAATGGGAATTCCATTTCCTTTTACTCGCCTATACAACTTACTTATGAAATGTACAAATATGTTGATATTTTTCTGGCACTGCCATAGCTCGCAAATCTCCATTATTTCGTACTGATTGAAAATCGCCACAACAAATAAGCAAATCAATTTTTATGTCTTCTCTTTGCTCTAAAGTTTCTATGCAATCATAGATTTTGTCCAGCTCTCCATGAGCACAACCCTCAATCGCAATTTTCATTGTTGGTGTTTTAATGTATGTATTTATATACAAGTATTCAATATTTATCACAGATATTTATAGTTAAAATATTTACAAACAAGCAAGTCAATCCATTAACAAAAACACCACAACAAACTACAACACAACCACAAGCGAACGTCCAACGTACACAGACCAAGAAGGAATACTGATAAGTCAGACTCAGAAGTAGAGATGTTCAAATATCGTCGATATATCGAAAGTACTCGATGTTTCCATACGATATATCGGCTTGTTTCGATTTTTGAAAAATATTTTTCTATTCGATATATCGAATATCGATACATTTATAACACAATATCGAATCGATTAAATAACGTTGACAGCTGACAATAAAAGCTAAAGTAAATTTTAACATTACAACATTTTCACTTTGATTTTTATAACAAGACATCAAATTTTCAGACGTCCTAGGGCGAGTTGTACTCGGCAGCTAAGTTTTGCCAAGCCAATTGCTAATCTTTTGTTGTAGCCCCATCTGTTTCTTGTTTTCTATAATAAGATATTTCTCCACTAATTTTAAAAGGTGCATTTTTTCAGCAATTGTGAAATTAGGTGCCCTGGGATCTCTTCATTATTTTAGTTCGGCAGTACAAACGGTTTATTGGTATTTTTTAGTTATTAATAAACACTTTTACTCTACTTTATGAATAACTATGAATGATGAAATGGCGCGGCGACTTCAAAAAAATGTATGTTGATATTGAGTTTTGACAAAAACGATGATGACGTTTGTTTTTCTAAACTGATTTTATGGCGCCGGACTCTAGTCTTTTCATCAAAAACGGAACATAAGGAATAAATGGTGAACGAATAATATGCTAAATCTCGGTTTAGTTAAACTGGTCATGATTTCAGGATCTGCCAGATAACTTTAGTTAGATTTAAGTTAAGTCGAGTTTAAGGCTAAGTCTGGATTTAATTAAATCAAGATTTTGGAAATTTTACTGCAAGTGGGCCTAAAAAAGGAAAACATTAAAATTATCAAAAAAATATCGATGTTTTTATACGATATATCGAAAAACATCGATGTCAGTTCCGATATTTTATATCGAGTATTCATATCGATATATTTTTTAAGTGGACACCCCTACTCAGAAGTCTAACAAATAGGGATGTTTGATATTCATCAATTTTCAATAAACATCAATGTTCAGCTAGATAATATCGATGTTTTGTTATCGATTTTTGAACTTCGATAACATCGGCATATAGTTGTTTTCTAGCCAAACATCGATGTTTCTGAATAAAATATCAATATATCCTTAAGGTAGTGTTGCCAGGTCCAATTTATAATTAATCGAGACAGTGCGTGTAATTAATCGGGATTTGGGGTTGTAAATCGGGACACACAAAAAAACAAGTATTAGTACTAGTTTGGTAGCTTTTTTGCTTTCAGACATAGATAAATATAGTTAAGGGCTTTCAAAAATAGATTATTTTTTTTATAAAAATACTTGATTTTTCGGGACATTCAGCGTCCCGATTAGGTACAAATCGGGACGCGTCCCCGGACCCCTGAAAATCGTGACGTCCCGCGTAAATCGGGACACCTGGCAACACTACCTTAAGGTCATCTAACGTGCTCTAGATGTACTAGCTAGATGACCTCGTTATCAAGTTCAACTATTTTCCACTAGATGTCACCGGTTGCACTCGTAACTGGAATGTTTCCCAGCAAATAGTTTTTTCTTTGTTTGCATTTTCCAAGGAAGTTAAAATAAATCTGTAAACTTCAGCGCTCTTTATTACCATATAATTAACCGATAACGTACTTCAATGACTGTTAAGATTTTATAGGTTATTTTGAGAACGTCGCCCGTAATTAAAAGTTGCCCGTAAGAAGATTACGATACTAACTGCTTGTTGATTTTGAAATGCATTGAAGGTATAAAGGTTCAAGAAGATTCTTTTTTCGGTGTCGGGTAGCTTCGCATGTATGAGTGATGGATGACTTATGCTAAACTAACTAAAGTTCTTCTCACGAAAGAAGTCCCTTTGATTACAATGTTTTCCCTTTTATTACCAAGGAATAAGAGTTATGCCGTGGGACTTCTTTCGTGAAAGATATTCTAATAATAAACTCTTTATTATTTCATATTTCAAAAACATTGAAATTTAGGTAAAAAGAAAACCGATTTTTAGTTTAATACATACATATCTTGAAATACTTATTTTACATACATGTTTAAACTAAATTGGCTCTACTCTTTATCAATAAAGAAATATATTAAAAGGTTATTCCTTATCAAAATTATATTTCCTTCAATTAGTTGATATAAATATTGGAATATGTAATTATTTGTTCTGTTTCTTAATAATTTCCGAAAGATTCACTGTATTTTATTTCTTTGTAAAATATTGCAAATAATCATTGATGTTTTACAACATCAATGTTCAGTTTTCGATAAATATCGAACATCGATGTGGAGCTTGCAGTGATGACATCGATGTCAACATCGATTTTTTTTTAATATTGACTTCCCTATTAACAGACTGTTGTCTGTGGTAAGACAAAGAATAATTCTATGGCTAGGGATGAACAGACGAGTAAATATAAGAACTTACTCGATACTTTTCAAGCGAATTATTCGTATTATTGGAATGCTTTAGAATCGAATAACAGTAGCATCATGAGTAAGTATTTGTATCGGTATTTCGTCGATCACTCACTTACTGAGGTGTGTCAAAAAACTTGCGTGCACGAGATTATTTCTCTGGTAAGGTATCTAAAGTCTGTCACATGAAAATTCCCAAAGTGTAGAAACTCATTTGAAAAGAGTAAATAGAGTTTTATTTTTTTTTGGTTTTGTTTTTTCCTGTGTCTGTCAAATAAATAATTTTCTCCTGAATTACTATTTTCTATTTGAAAGTTTTTTACTATTTTCTGCTAAATATTTACAATCTCTGAATTTTAACAAGTGGCGACCGTGAATATAGAACAGTTGATGAAAAAGCGAACCTTTGCTCGGAGATGTATCACATTAGCAAAGAAAGATGTCATAGGGGCATTCGAAGCCAGTCAGACTGATCTTCCAACCCTAGTAAAGTATTTTGCGTTTCTGACCCGTGGAACACCAAATTGGTTCACCTAGGTGTTCCACTGCTAACTTTTTGTATCTCTGGATCATCTATACTCCATTTATCATAGCATTAGACAGAAGTTAAATAAGGTTCTTTTTATGGTATACTTTGCGACAAAATATCAATAATCATGTTACTCTTAAGACTGACGGCTAATTACATATCCACTTAAATACCAGCTGCTATACTTAAATCTTGTCATTTAGGCTATCTATTAAACAAATTTATGAGTATATGACTAATTTAAATGATTTAATAACTATTACAATAAAAAGTGTTCATCATAAAGAACCTAAAGAAGCAGGGTTGGATAGTTTCGGCACGATTCTCATGTCACTATAACTCACAAAATTTAAAACGTCTAACCCCTTCAAAAGTTTTGGCAGTACAGCTTTTTAAATTTCTAAGACTATTATTTATTCATAATTGTTATAATCGCAATCTGGGATTGTCATCCATTGTGAATGCTACTGCCTTTCTTGTTGTTTTGCCGTTTTCCGTGATTAAGTTGTTATTGTTTTATTTTTGTTGTTAAGTTTTGTTAAATATTCACGATGCCGGTGCAGGCCCGAGTGGCCTACAAAAATTACGCTCTTAGCCCCTACCCTCAACCTTTGACTAACTAATTACACTTACAATTAGAATTTATCAGAAAAACAGACAGATAGTTTCAGTTTTAGTTCCACGTTGGCTTGGGAGTAAAAGATGAATTTATAAAATGCTGGCCTCATCTCAACCCCGAGGTATCGTAAAAAATGGAAAATTGCCCAGCTCTTTCAGACTAGCTAACATTCAAAGTTTCAACAAAACTAATATTTTTTTTTTAAATTTATCTTGAAAATAAAATGTTCTGCACTGCTGCTTCTATGACCCTCTTTTTCTAATGTTATAATGAATGGAGTATAGGTGTTCCACAGTTAATTTTGTTTACCCCTGGTTCACCTAGGTATAAATTTTCTGTGGATACTCTTTTCGTTGATCTACTTCTACGGCTAACTTTTTGCACCTCTAAATATTAAAATCTATTGGATTATTTCTACACAGCCAAAAATGCCGTTTAAATTTTCTTCGAGTGTAGGAAAATGATGGGAATCGAGACCGCTGACCATCCTTTCGTCCTCTACTTATGTACTGGTCACAAAAAAATATAAATTATTATTTTTTTAATTTATAAATTATTTACCTTATTTTTTATTTAAAAAATGTTATAATGAAATCATTAAGTGTATTTGGACAGCATCACCGTATCAATAATGCTACCGAAGGCTTCTTTGCCAAATGACGCTAAACAAAAACAAAAGCACAGTGACATTATGTAGACTTTTAATTTTTTTAGAAAAAATTGTATCAGTTGCTGATAAAAATTCCTATTAAAAAAGAAAAATAATTCTCAAAAATGATAACTATATTCTTAACATACAAATGCAATTAGTTAATAAGGAAATCACTATAGAGAGTGCATTAGGAAAGCTGCGTAGTTAATTAGGCGATTTTTTTTATGCCAACCAAGCATTTGACACAATATCTATTAATTAAAAGTAGAATTTTCACCCTTGGAGTAAAGTCTGTTTTCTGTCTCTTATTAAGTTGTTACATTACCGAAACATATTTCTTTCTTGTTTTGCCCTGATAATCTTTAATTGTATCAATTTTAACATTAAGTTTTTGAATTATTTAGGTGAACCAGGGGTACAAAAAGTTAACTGTGGAACACCCAGGTGAACCACTTTGATGTTTCACGGGTCAGAAAAGTAAGAAGGCATTACTAGCTTGATTTTATATCTAGTTTTAAGTTTGTGTACACTACTACGTATACACATTAATATTGTTCCGGACGAAAAGTATACAACTCTACATAAATTGAGATGCAACAAGTTTTTCTTTAAATTTTTTCTTATTATTCTCTTATTTTCGCGAGCCCAATTGATAGATAGCTCTTATTGTTCTTTTTTGTAAAACAAATATAGACTGAATATCGGCTGCCGTTCCCCACAATATAATCCCATAGGACATGATACTGTGAAAACAACTAAAGTACAGTCCGGGCAGAAACTTGGGGATCGCCTATTTTTACATGAGATCCCGACGGCTTCGCACCGTTTATATCTACTGTTTGTGTTCTGCAACTAATATGCTACAGCATTCGTTTTTGAACAGCACCTTTAATACCGTAGAAATTCAGTTTAGACGACAGTGTCTGATGCTCAATACAATAGAAGGCTTTGGACAGATCGCAAAAAAACTCCAAGAACGTTTTAAATATATATACTTTAGTAGCGCAACACCCGCGTCTGTTGTCGAACGACCTTTAGTAAAACTGTATTGCTTAGTATGCAAAAGTTCGTTGAAATTAAAGTAGGTTTCGACAGCTTAATGATCGTGGTAACCACCATCGTCGTTCCTTTTATCGAAATTGAATCAGTAGTTTTCCTTTTATAACAAAACATTATACGCTTTTTACCAGATATCACCTAAATATTTAGATTATATATATTGTATGTCGTGTATTTCAGGTTAAAAGAAAAAATTGCGTTTTTGGAATTTATTCAAAATCCGAAAGGACGATTATGTTCAAGGAGTATGTATATTTTTAATTGAAAGTAGGTAAGTAAATCGATTTCTTCTTGAATTGTTAACCAATTTCTAACAAACTAGCTGTTTCCCCGCGACTTCGCCTGTGTAAATTATAGCTTATGTCCAACAGGTATTATGTAACTTCCTATAGATGAAAGACTTTTATAAATCGTTCCAATAAAATCGGGCCTATCCAATGCAAACAAACAAGCAATCGAATCTTTTCTCTTTATAATATGAGTATAGAATTATTGGTAAAAAATAATCTCGAGCAAATAAACAAAAGTTTTCTAAGATTTTTACGATGTTAAATATTTTTCTTTATATAGATATACATTTTTAATGTTACTTATTATGTAAATATCACTAAAAATCATAAAATTAAAACTTAAAAAAGTGATAAATAATACTCGTCTCAAAAGCGATTTATTCAAAAATGCTATTGAAGCAGGTCGCCTATTATTTAATCAATACGTACGGAAGACCTCCGCCCACCTCTATAGCATTGTTTTGAATAAGTCGCATTTAAGATAAGAGTTATTTATCACTTTTAGAAGACTGAAGTCAGTTCTATTATTTTGTTTTTTTTTTCTTTAATTATAATACCTATTATACCCAGATAATTAAAATGGACTTTACCCTTAATGAAAAATGGTTAAAAAATCCACTTTGTTCACTCCCCCATCTCAGAGTATCAGGGACAAATTTGATTTTTTTAATAATATCTCATTAAGTATATTTTCCAGTAAGTATAGCATTGTGAATGCGACATTAACCAAATATAACGATGGACTTTACTTTGAAAAAATACTACTTTATTGTAAAGAGGGGCCAAGTTATAGTTAAAGTTAGTTACCTGAGGTAGTTAACGTCTATCCTTACATTATGAAAAGGAAAGATTTAATTGATTGTCTGCAACGAATAGGCTCCAAAACTACTGAACCAATTTTAAAAATTCTTTCACCTACGAGAAGCTACATCATATGCGGTGAACATAGGCTATATTTTATTTAAAAAAAAAAGCAAATAAAGGGTCGGATATGGGAATGGAAGTTTGTATAGGGAATTAAAACGTAACCATTATTATTATTCAATTCGTTATTGTAATTATATCGGTGTCATGATATGGTTTGAAATCCAAATAAACAGTTCCCTAGCGACCACGCGTGTGAAGCCGCTAGCGGAAAGCTAGTTTTGTATAAAGTAACAAAATGTTTATGAAAGAAATAAAAAAAATATTATTATCTAATCTAATGTAATTAGTGACAAGAAATAATTCATTCACCTACCAAATGTCTGGCGGCATACCGATTATGGGAGACAAATAGGTAAATCACACTTATGTAAGAGGCCTATAACAAATATATGTGGTAAAGAATACACAAAATATTTGTGGTAATTTTGAAGTTTTTATCGTTTTTATTAAAATTAAATAATAATTTGTACTTAAAAATAATGACATATTTATTCCTTATGATGTAATAGGTAAGAACTTTGAATCAAAATTCTGTTAGATTATATTATCGTACAAAGAAAAAACTTTAAGCTATTTTCGAAGTTTTTTTAATGATATTGCGTTTTAATAACTACTACAAACTATACGGCTATAAGGTTAAGAGATAACATTCTATTGCGTGTATTTAGATCAGTAGGTACAGCTCAATCCAGTAAATTTAGGAAAATATTTTTCTGCAATTTTGGGTTAAATAAAAAGTTGATCACAATTTCTAAAAAGCAAGTCTGCTATAAACTATACTAACAGTTATTCTGCGCTGTTCAATAAATCAAAATTTTGGTTTCGATGCCAAGATCGCCAAAAATTACCATTTTACACTAAAATCACAGACAAAATGTAATAGAGCCCATACGGAATAGTATCTCAGTAGCATCACAGTCCAATTTCATAATAATATATAACTTCGTCTGTTTTAAAGGCGAAGAGATACGAGTTGTATGACGTCAGAATGGCCGGTGGCACGCGCCAATGGCAATGCGAGGCGGCGCCCGCGCACCGCCCACTGCGCCCACAATGGAAACTCGGAAAATACTTAACCTAGAACATATTTCATCGCTTACTTATTCATGAACTTTAGTTGATATTGAATAAAAATATCTAAAATAGAATACAAAGTTACTAAGTGCATTACCTATGTGCATTATTATACTTAAGTTATTTTAAACTTTCATCGTCACTAATATTGACCTTATATTTATAACCGATTTATCGGAGTTACCGACTAAGCTTATGTTTAATAATATTTTTCATGTACCTGAATGTATTAAGAAATTAGCATTATGTACAAGTTAGCTAACTCATTAACGATGATTTGTTTTTCTATGTGTCCGAAGGGGGAATATTATTTATGTTGTCGATAAAATTTTTCATCATATTACTCTTTATTTTTGTGTACACATTTTTCAAATAATATTATCATCTGATATCGATTAATGTAAACAGCGATATCAATTCGAGCGCGCTCCCTTCTGTAGCGAGTTTATAGTAATGCGCGGGAGCATAAGGGGCTCTTTATAGTCAGTGTACACGAGCCGACCGCACGCGCGTCTCCGGTGCCGCGCGCTCCAACAACTAACTGACTAAAGGAAAAGTTTTTAAAAATGAGTTGGGATCCGGACCACGACCGTCCCTGTGATAAAATAGAGATCAACGAAGCCGTGGGCAAACTGCTTAGGAACTTCAACTATGACAACATTGTGCCTCAACCTTCCAGGTGAGTCGAGATTAATTTTGAATAATTCAGTTTTAATTTTCGAAATTTTAACGGACTCCGTGTTTACCGACTGAGATGTTGGTATTACAGAAATAACTAAAAGTATTAATATTGAAACTACTCCCTAATTTTTTTTCCATAATTGTATTCTTATTAAATGGATAGTGTGCACGGAAACAAATAACAAGTAAGTTTATTTACCTACAAAACAATATTTACATTATTTTACTATTGAAGTCTATGTAAATAAAGAAAAACGAAAACTTTTAAATTTTTTGTCCTACAACATATTTCATCGCTTACTTATTCATGAACTTTAGTTGACGCGCGCACAATATTATTTTTTGAAATAATTTATTTCTTTCTTCTCTTATAAAATTCAATGTTGTAAACATAGTCCTGTTACACATCTTCGGTCTACAAATCAAAGGTGTTTTTTCAATAAATATAGTCCCATACAAACCAAACCCAGTTGCACAAACCTTCAGGTTTAATGACGACTTTAAGCTCTAATGGATGTTCTAAATTTGAACAGTATCGGTAATTTCACTATAAATTAATGAAAATTCTTACAACAAATGGAAGTTTATGCAACGGGTAATATAGCTGTTTTCATCCGTATATGGTCTATGTCACCCGCTGATGATGAAGCTTTCCGCAGGTGAAAAATTTTTTTTAATCGGTCCTGTAGTTTCGGAGCCTATTCCGATACAAACAAACAATAAAATCTTTTCCTTTTTACACTATTAATATAGATACTTGTAGATTAATTCTAAAAACCTACAGCGTCAAATGTAGCGTTGAACACAGCGGTCACAGTAATTTTCAATTAACAAACCTTTATTACCTTCTTAAGTTGGTTTTATTTGATTAACATCTAATGCTGTGTCAGCGCTGTACGTTCGACGCTGTATTCTCAATAGAATAATACTGCTGGTAATTATAGTGTAAAATTATTTTATCACAATAACATAACTAACTAAATCCATCAAAAATGTGTGAATAACTGATAGGTTAACGCGTTGGTTTAATTTAAAAACTCGAAAAAATATTGTGAACTATTTGAAAACAGGTAAACTAAATTACCTTACATTTTATTTTATTTATGTCTAATTTTTGGAAAAAAATATATCGAAAATGATAACGATAAATAATAAAATTGACAATTGAATTCCTATGCCTTTTTTATAAGTCTTAGGTCAGCACGTCATCCATAGAGACTCACTTTGAATAAATTTTGAAAAATTATTACACAAATAGTTTTGTCAATATCTACCTGATTACTCCTAACACTTTTTTGTGTTGGCACAAATCTATATCATTAATTAATAGAGTTTCTATTAGAAAAAGGTTTCAATTAAAAATATTGGAGGGATGGCACTTTATTGACGTTAAAAAGATTTTCAGAAGTAAGTATAAAAAGTTAGTTAATGTTACTGCTTCATATCAATGTAAATTTGTTTTTTCAATAAGAATTGAAAAAAAGAACACGCTCACTTATCGCTACGAGTAATTTGATACTTTTCAATGATGAATCAATTTCTTAAGCTGTATGCCGCTCGTAACGGAAACGGCAATCTGTTCAAGTGCTTCAAATAAATAAACAAGAGTAATTACTTATGTATAATGATACATCATTTACATAAGTTATTAGGTATTCTTATTTATTTTATGTTACAAAGGATAGTAGGGCAATTAATCATAGCGTGATTATAGAATATCGCTTCAACTACAACCCTATAAGACAAAGTACTTACTTTTCTGTGTAGATCACATAATAATACATATTTCTGTCAACGTTGATTTATGAAAAAGAAGTGATGATATTGGACTTGTAGCAGAATGAAAGTAAGTAATTGAGACTCTATTGAGGTGCAAATATTACGTAAAAATTAACAGAATTTAGGCACAAACTACCTTTGCTATATTAAAGATAAATTTCGAAAAAAAATAACGCTTAGAAGCACAATAGTAACAGGAGAGTAAGACAGCAACAGTGATAAAAAAATAAAAAGTGACAAAGTCAAAAGTTCAATTCGTATAATATTTAAAAAAAAAACTAAAATAGAGAGGCGTACAAATCTGTCGTCAACAGTAGGTGTATGATATCTATCCATCTATTGAAGTACTTACACAATAAAAATCGTTGCAGGTAACTTTACATTATCGGAGAATTTCTTTCTTTATTATGAACCGTAAATCTATCCAATTGTCGATTGTTTCGAATTGTGCGGGATAAGTAAATGAATATTGTAGGAAATAACTTGTTGTCTTTAGGAACAGTGAATACAAAACAAAGTCGCTTCCCGCTGTCTGTAAGCTGCGAACTTACAAACTACATAATGGATTTTAATATAGTTTTCATTACTATAAAGTGATTCAAGGCAAGGTTTTGTAAAAGATCTGACTATGCGGGCGAAGCCGCTAACGGAAATCTAGTTTATAAAGACACAGTGGCTAATATCAATTTAAGCTATTATACCTGTTATATGCATACCACCCAACTAATTTAATTCCATAGAATTATTGTATTATTTTTACTTAAATTATGCCATTTGGATATTATTTTTAATTTCTATTAAAAATTATAAAAAAAGTAAAAAGGATTTTTATGAAATTGTTTATATTCTTATTTAATTCAAGAATATTATGAAAACCCCTGTAGGTATTTGTCTTAGATAAGTTTGTAATTGGAATCTTCAAAAGCAAAGACATTTAATTGTGTAAAGAGATAAAGGTATATTTCCTACCGATCTTGAATCATTATTTCGAAGCAAAAAGTAACATTTCTAGTTATCGATTTTTAGCACATAATCAGTGAGAAATGGAGAGTGAAATAGAGGAAATTCCTTACATTTTAAGTAACTAATTGTATATTTTAAACTACCTTTATCCGCGTGACTTCCTTCCACATCACTTTCCATTGTCAATTACGAATTTCCGTACAAACTTTCATCCTTTATTTCATCCGCTTCAAACACTTTTTTCGTGATAAAATGTTCTATGTCCCGTTCAACTTGCTCTATCTCTGTACCAAATTTCATTAAAATCGATTTAGTGCTTTAGTAATTAAAATAAAAGTTACTTCGGCATTTGTAATATTTGTAGAGTTTATAAACAAACCGGCTTTTGTCCGATAAAATCATCCCGATATGAAAGCTTAAAGCTCATGTAGTTTTGATCATTAAACAACTAATATATTATTCAGTAAAGTTTCAATAGAATTAATTATATTTTATCGGTAATAAGGAATAATCCACGTGTTTATTGTAAACTTTATCAAAATTAATTATTGTTCATATCTTATTGAGTATAAAGAGATGATGTAGTCATTTTTAAATGAAGATAAGTAGCTAAAACATTTAGTGAAATTTAAATTTATATAGTCCTACATATTTAAGAAATGAGAAGAGAATATCTTCCATTTCAAGTGTTTGAAAATTTTATATAAAAGTTGATAATATAATTCTAAATCAGTCTTTTTCAGATAATTTTACCCATTTGAAAATGTTATGAAAACAAATAAAGTAAAGAACAAAAAGATAAACAAACAATGAGACATATGAAAACATACAACAACCTAGATATTCTGTGAAATAAATATAATTATTCGCAGGCCATTATGACAATTGTATAATTATTAATCAACAATTAACGTCTTGGTTTCAAAATTGTCTTGGTATATTTCACGATTATAATTATAAAAATATACCTTTACCTATATCTACTAGATCAGCGAGAATATCGTTTTTATTATAAAAAGATTTTATTCTTTGTTCCTTTGCTTGCAAGAATTTATTTAACTGGACCAATTTTAAAAATTCCTTCACATCATACGTGCCGACATAGGTTATAATTTACGCAAGTAAATTCATGGGATATTTAATAAAGTTATCATGAAGGAACATGTGGAGATGTCATGATGACATCTCACTTTCGGTGTTTTCAAAGCGTTCTAAGCTGTTTTTCATAAATATTCCGACAAAAAGACATGGTGCCCCTTAATTATTTGCCCATAAATTAAATATGAGTAGTGATAATACGGGTCAGTTGCGTGACACTTGGCATGTCACCCGTAATTGGTCTCTTATCTCATATCAGCTCCTTGTTTATTAATTCCCTATCAACGTCGGCGCTTCTCATCCTCATTAATCTACGATGTAACGTTTGTGCATGCGCATCTTAAAAATTAAATATGAAAGAATATTTATTTTATGTACCTAATGCTTCTTTCGCAGGTATTTACAAACCATTTGGATATCCTATATTCTTATAGTATTAACATGCTTTCAAAGTTAAATATTTCGTTTCCCGATAGTTATTTCAATACCTAGGAGCATGGAGGAGGATCGAGTTATCTATACAAATATTATAAAGGTGGCATATAGGTACTATAATATACGCGGCCGCAATCGGTGGAAAACAGCTTGTGTAGGTCTTTATATATCTGTATTTATCTTTATTATGTGTTTGAACCTTGTAGTAGGACGATATTTTTATAGAAACTTTAGCAAAAGCTTTAGTTATTCTACTCCATCTTTCTGGAGCTTTAAGACTATAAACTTCTTATTTAAATCCTGAAATAGCCAAGTCTCATCAGGAATCACATCGTAAAAAATAGATATCGCTATGCGTGTCTGAAAGTGAATTCAGTCGGTTGCGTTATCAAAGATTATTATTACCTATGGCAACGTTATTATTACTTCAAACAAATTTCGCTTCCCATTTTGAGGTTGTCGTTTTATGGGGCGAGCCGTGTGACTATAGTTATCTTCTTCCTGTTAAGAATTTATTTCCGTGTTCGGTGAGATAGTGTGTAAGCGCAAATATTATGTTAACCTGGGGAGTCCCCGGCGTACAGCTCCCGTCACACCTGGATAATATATTAACCAGAATTATTTTGTTTATAATTGTAACAAATTTCGGGTTATGTTGTGTCGGTATGTTTTATCGATTAGAATATTTCTTGAAACTAATTCGGCATTAATCGTTTTTATTAT